TATTATATTCAGGTTATATGCGGTGGGAAACCATGGTTGCTAGACACTTTCCTGAGAGGTGTCTGCGACAGTATGGCTATGTTTAGAGTATCTCACGATCAGTTCCAAATATACCAACTTTAGGGATTGATTGGTGTTTTCAGAGTAACTTCATCAGCTTTGGTCGTGTCATTAGAGATCGAGCAGTCACTTTTCAACACCCCTCGTAATGTGAGGATGGTTATTTGGAATGGTACCTCATTGTATTACACCCTCGCATCACCCCACCTACAGTTGATGTTGGACCTTCTGATGATCGGGTACCTATTAATGACGTGTCGCCGCCGGCTCCTCCAGCAGATCACGCTGATGACCAGCAACGCCTCTAGATTATTGTAGTTATTATGGATAATCTCATGGATTTGGTAAACTCAGATGGCGAAGTTTATACTGGATTAGCTCGGGCTGCACACATAGTCCGTGGGGGGTCTGTTTTGATATCTTTTGTATTATTTGTATATTATTCATACATCTTCATCATAACACTTTATTAGCTAGTATTATTGTTCTTTTTTAAATTATAGTGTAGATATTAACTAACATCTGACAATAGATTACATAGCTTAAACAGAAAAACTTTAATTAATAAAAAAGATAAACCTAAACACTATCAGACGCTTCAAGACGTTTCAACATCTCCATTATGTTGTCAAGTGATCTTGAAAGCTTAGCATCTAACTCGATTGACCCCTTTGTTATCCTACAGCAAAATGATCTCCGCATTTCTTTCACATCTTTGTCGGCCTTCAACTCAATAAGGTTGTATTTCACCCTTCCGTTAGTATCGATCCAATCTTCGCGAAAATCAATCTTTCTCACCTTTCTGTTATCTCGATCAGACAAGATTTTATTCAACTTCGACGTCAAGAGATGTGGTGTCATCGGAAAACCGAAACTCTACAGGAGGAGAAGCTCTGTTGAAGTACACTCTTGCCTTAATCAAAAATTGAGGAAGAGGGATTTTTCAAGATGTGTTTATCAACAACATGTGACCCCTATTTATACAACTTTGTATCTATTATGGACCACACAAATTGTCGATGCAATCAAAGTCATTCAAAATTGTCGACAAAATCCTAATCATCTAAAAAAATCAAACAAATGTAACTAACGGAAATTTAACTTAGGTTAAAATTTCCGATATCACTGCAGAAATTTTAAATTTCCGAAACAGTTTACAACGGAAATTCTTAAATTTCTAGTGTACCGAAAATTTTAAATGCACTGCCGAGAATTTTATACGAAAATTTGGTGTATTTTTAACCCAATAACAATTTTATAAATATGAAATTTTGAGGAATGTCAAGTATAATTTAAGAGGCAGGTTAAATTCTCGAAAAAATTTATATCGTTTTCTTCAAAATTTCTTTTTTTTTTTTAGCTACTTTTGTTTAAGCAAATTTTGTTGCTATTATTAAAGAATGTGAAATTAAGGTTCTTATTATAAGCTGTTTCGAGGAAAATAATTCTATTAAGCAAAATTAGTAATTACAACTTATACAAGACATTGATATAAGGAAGTAGGTGGTGCTGGTTAAATAAGATTTTGAGACAAAAACTCAAGATCCAAAATAAAAGTTTGTATGGATGAGTTTTGGTTTAGCTTTTAAAAATTATATTATAAATCAGTTTTAAAATTAGTAATCTTATTTTTAAAAACTATTTTTTGATTTACATTATATTACAAATTTACCAATAATAAAAAGTGCACCATTTTTTTCTTAGTTTTTCCACTCCTAAATTTCCAAAACTAAAAATCAAAATCTCTACAATTTATTTTAATTTTTAATTTTTTTAAAATTTTTAAATAAGGAATAGTTTTCAAAAAGAGAAAATGAAATATACACTCTAAAATTATTTTACATTATCAATACATACCTATTAAACTAAACTATCAAACAAATTTTATTATTTTTAAATTTTAAAACCTAATAACAATTTTACAAAAGGAAATCAATTTTAAAATTTTAAAATCTAAAAAACAATTTTACAAAAGCAAATCAAACGGCCCAAAATATATGATATTAATAAGTATGAAATTTTTTATTTTAATTATGTGGTAATAAATTATTGATAAAAAATGTAATCAACTTTTACATAATTGATCATAATTTAAATTGGGAAATCAATGAAGACATGTAATCAACTAAAGCCAGCTGAGTGATAGAGTGGGAACGAAGGTCAAAAACGGCTTGAAAATGCATAGGAAAGTCCAAATCATTTAGAGGATTTGTTGACATATACAGGAAGAGACGGGTCGAATGATAAATTGGAATGGTTGGAATGGAAGAACTATAATAATTGACCCCCGAGAAAGAAGAACAACTCACCAACGACTTTCACCTATCTCTCAGCCATAACCAAGAATCTATTAATTTTGTGTACAAAATATTACGTGCAGGTATTGAATTACAGCATTCTCCTACACCTATGCCACTAACTTCTATTAATAATCATCGCTTAGACCCAAACATAAAATATATTTGATGAGTAACTAACTTGACTCATTATAAATAACGCGTCAAGCAAAGATTTTGTTGAGGGAGGCAACTATTTAACACAGAGTTTCTACATCTGGCTAGAAGATACCAAAACCATACATTCTTGGACTCTCACTACCTATGTGCAGTCATTGGTGCAACCATTTTCAATAAAGAGGAGAGTTTAAGAGTCAACATGAATGACTACATTGGCAATGCAGATTAGGAACATATTGCCTATCAAACGGCTACACCATGGAGAAGTATTCAATGAATACTTATTCAACTGCGTCTTACCATAAATTGTGTGACAGTAACAGAAGGATACACTTCGTTGTCAGGGCACTCACAAAACTGAAATATTGTTTAAGGAATTGATGCTCCATTGGTACTCCATTGTTGGTTATTGATCGCTGACAACTAAGTGTTGCTTGCCCCTCGTGATTAAGTGGTGATACATTATACTATTTCAAGATTCCCATTATTTACATGTGTCATTAAATTATAAAAATGTTTGGACTAAATGATATGATCCATTAGTCTTTTTACTACAGTTTATGAGCACAAGCAGTACAGATCATTAAAAAAATTAAACAAACAAGGAAACTTGGTGCTATTATGTTATGCAGCAGGGTCCAGAAAAGAATCAAACCCATTGCAGATCTATTGAAGATAGCCTTACCTTGCATTTGCAAGCAGCTGATTCCACAACTCAAATCCAAGGACTACAACATTGCAACAAAACTCCCCTTTCATATAAATTTTAGATTATCTCTGCAATTTCCCAAAAGGTCATTAAAATATCTGATTCCTTATCAAGCCCTGACCACCGGGAGTTTATCACACAAAATAAATCCCTCTAATGAAATATTAACCAAGATCCTGTTCTACAATTTTAAAGTCCTAAAAAAAAAGGTGTTTTCATGTACTTATCATTAGATTAGTGAAGCATTGCCACTTAGAGAGTTAGAAGGTTGAAGGCCCTTCCCTTCATTTCTAGGATAAGATTGAATCTATGGGAGCCTTTTCAGAATTTCATCTGAGACTGACTCCTCCCATTTCCACATTTCAGTTTAAACATTTGATCTACTACACTCTACACAAGCTTTGATGTGATCAGTCAAAAAAGGAAGAACGTAGAATATTAACCCGCAGTAACACCAATTTTCAAAATTTATTTCCCACTAGGGTTGGAGTACTCAAGATTTGGATAGTTCTCATGAGATCATGGTTTCATAACTCATTGTCACCAGTGTTGTACCCAAGATAAAACGAATTTGATTAACAAGGAAACCTGGTGCTACAGAGCTCTTGCTGTAGCAGAGTCCAGAAAAGAATCAGACGTATTGCAACTCTATTGCATTTGCAAGTTGCTGATTCCATAACTCAAATCCAATGACTACAACCATTGCAACAAGACTCCCCTTTCCTATAAATTATAATTTATCACTGCAGTTTCCTAAAAGATCATAAAAATATCTGATGCCTTCTCTAGCACTGACTACACTGAGTTTATCACACAAAACAAAGCCCCCTGATAAAATATTAACAGAGTTTCTATTTTACAATATAAAGGTCTGATAAACAGGCATTTTCAAGTAATTTTCATTAACTTGGCGAAGCATTGCCACTTGCATAGTTAATAGGTCGAAGGCCCTTTCCTTCATTTCTAGTATAAGATTGGATCTATTGTAGCTTTTTCGGAATTTCATCTGACACTGACTCCTACCATTTCCACATTTCAGTTTAAACATTTGATCTACTACAACACACATGCTTTGATGTAATCAGTCAGAAAAGGAAGAATGTTGAATATGAACCCGCAGTAACACCAACTGTCAAATAATTTATTTCCCACTAAAATTGGGCATTTGCGATTTGGATGATTTTCATGAGATCATGGTTTAATAACTCATTGTAACCATTGTACCCACACACACACAAAAAACTCAAAGCATAAATTATAAATATTTGTCAATATTTGTATATCTAAATCACCACCTCGGAATAAAGAAAACAACACCAAATTGCACAATAGAGGAAAACATACCATCACTTAACTAATTAAATACGAACAATTATTATGGCAACTAAGTTAATATCATCGCCAACAAGTTGTTTCAATAAACTGCAGGCATAGAAAATTATTGAAACTCTATTATTAGATTCAGAAAATGAAACCCCACAACATGTGTACTGATCAATCACCGAGAAGTAACCATAATCATGAACACAATACCTAGACACAGTCACGCTTACAATGTATTCCAACTCCAAAATTCCAACATATTCTCATGAGATAGCATAATCAAAATGCACTAGAATACAAAAGACACAAATCAAAACAAACCTCCACATTTATAATAATATGTGATATAGATTGATGGCACAATAAATAAACAAAGTTCTAAAGATAGATCAATATAGTAAACATGATAATAAGTTATAAAACCCGCGGTAACATACTATAATACCCACTGATCAGGTCTCAGTCTCCGTCTCCGTCTCGATCTTGCCGGTGTCAGGAGCATCCACTGCGGTTGGTGAAGAAGAAGGAGGATCCACGGTTGTAGGAGCTTCAGCAGCATCGTTATCGACGGCATTGGAACCTATGGTAGGTCTAGCCTTAACGGTTTCAAGCATGCGCTTACTGATTTCCTTGGAGTAAACCTGAAGGATCTCGATGCCGTCACCGCCGTCTGGAGCACCGGAGTCACTGGCGAAAGAGTAAGCCTCGTCTTCGATCTGGCGAGCGGCTGTGGCGGCCTCGTCAGAAGGCAATGTGCCGTAGCGCTTTGAAAGGACGGAGGGAGTGGTTAGGGTTTCGATTAAGCGAGTGATGACGGCGTCGCGAGTGCGCTGAGTGGGTGGCCATATGCTGAAACCGGCGGATGAGAGTTTGGTTTGGTCGCCGTTTTGTTGAGGTGAGGCGGAGGAGTCTTGCTCCGATGTGGCTGCAGTTGTGACTTCCGGGTCGGACATTTTGGAGATGAGCGTTTTTTCGGAGAGGTATAAGATTTTAAGGCTTTTGGGGACAACAAAAGGGGTTGAGAAATAATTGAGGTCTATTTTGTAAAATTCAAAATTAAGGTGGTCTCAAAATATTATGAATTATTTTTTTAACAAATTGGAAATTGTTAATTTGAATTTTTTTAATCTTCACATTTATCAAATAAACTAATTTGATTCATTTGAATATGAAACTCAATAAAATAAACGTTAAAAATAATCTAATTGATTTGATTTTGATTAAAATTCAACTACTAAGCCCATGACAATCCAAAATTTCCTAAATTTCCTTTAAATTAATGGAATATGAAGTGATCTATAATAAATATGTATAGCTTATATTAGTTAAAATTGGATAAACATAAACAAATAGAGTTTTTTTTAATAAGGTTATATTAAATAAGGAAACAGTGCATAAAAATTTGAGGGGATTAAATCAAAACCCTCGACAAATTAAGGAAAAGGCAACTCAAGTCTTTACAAAATCAACTCTAATACACAGAGGTATAAAGGAAAAAAATAGTATCCGACAATGTAAGACCTAAGTTAGCGAGGGTATCTGCACAACTATTCTCTTCTCTATAAATGTGAGAAACAATACTAAAAGCCCTAACCACCGTTGTCGAGTCCGATTTCAGCCAAACGTTACACCAATTCTTCTCATGAGCAAACTCAATCACTAGCATAGCACCCGAGAGTTCGACAATGAGAGAATTCGTAATACCTAAAAAAGACGCAAAAGCACCCAAAAAAGAACCAACCTTGTCCCTAGCAATACCACCACAAGCAGAAATACCTGACGGAGATTTAGAAGCTTCATCACAATTCATCTTAATCCAATTTGTTGTAGGGGGTTGCCATAAAACTCCAAGATGTTCTGAACACGGGGCGGCCGAATAGCAACTTTAAATCTCTTAATAATCTCAAAATCGTGCATAGAGAGATAGGCACCCACTAAACAAGCATTTCCGGCAATGGAGACGATAGTCTGTTAGCTCCTAAATTCGACGCCTCATGTAGAAGGAAGGAATTCAAGATAAAAGGGTCAAAGGTAGGTTGAGAACGAGAGAGTGGTTGAAAGGGGGCAAAGCAGCCAAAAGAAGAAGTCGAAGAACTTACCCAGAAGCCAGGAGTTCGATCGCTTGCTGTGAGGGATGATTTGTCGAAGGATTTGAAATTTAAATATTGGAGGGAACGGTTTTGCTTGTTGAATATTGAGGGAGACACGTGTCACCTTATGAGCAGTAGATCCATGCATTTGTGACAAATGGCGAAAGAAGGTGATGATGGAGGTTATTGGAGGTTATTTTTTACTACTATAAATAGGGTGTCTTAGACATATCCAAAGTGTGTTGTAATTTACTATTGTACAAATTACTCTTAAATTTACTCCAAGTATCCGAGTGTAGAGAAAGCGAGTATTGTAGAGAATGTACGTGATGTAAACACACCATCTTTTAACCTAATGCAATTTACTTGTTTTACTTTAAACTTTACAAAGTCTTTTATTGTCTTTACACCTTTTCTCCTTACTTTATTTTTCTCCTTCCTATGCAATTCTTTTCTCTTCGTCCTCAATCTAACTTCACCTCTCCCAACAAACTTTCTCCTCTTTTATTGAAAACTTCATTTTATCTTCAAGTTGTCCCGTAGTCGAATAGATGTTCCTTTAAGATTCTTTCACCCCAATACTGTTCGAATGTGGAACTTGAATAGACTTTTAAAACGAAAAAAAAACCTTTTAGCACATGTCATAGGATCAATCTGATCGATCATGTGAGTCACCAAAGTTAGATTTGGAAGATCAGCGGTTGTTTTCCGATTTTCAAGGGAAACAAAATGGCACGCCCGGTGGGACAGTGCTAGAAAATCTTTTTCATAAAACTAAACTTTAAAAAAAATTATGCAGCCGTACTGGTCCCTTTTCGTGAGAGGTTCATTTTTATATTACTAAGAAGTGGTAAAATTGTCGCTGCAAACGAAGAGACACGACCAAAACGAAACATTAGGAACATGGCTACGGATACAAACCAACCAGATAACCTTAACCATCAAGGAGACGGTTCTAGTGAGGGAATAAGAGACGATGGAATTCCCCCTCCGATACCGTCGACTGGAGAACAAACGATGCTTCTGGTGAGGCCAGTACTGACACCTTCCGTACTTGGGGTTGGATCTACAGTGATAAGACCTTATACTCAGCCAGTGTTGGAATATATTGGTCATCAAACGTCGAATCCTCGGATTTTGTTAGGAGGAAGTTCGACGTCCAGGCAGTTTGGTCCCCCTGGTTTTTCACAGTCACCAAGAAATCCCCCATATGGGATGCCCACCGCTATGATGCAGGGGCTCCAAAGTGCACCCCTCATATTCTCAGATCAAGCGATGACTTCGCCGCTACAAGGGTCAGGGTCAAGCGTGAACATGGGTCGAAACCCCCAAAACCAGAGTTTAGGGTATTTGACGCAGGGCCCCAATTTGACCAACACCTCAGTTGCCTGTTTAAGATAGCAGATGGACGAAAGTAACCTACAAATGGTTCAGACTTTGTCACAAACCATGGGTGAAATATTTCAACCATTAATCCAAAATACAACTCAGACCAATCAACAATTGGCGGTACAATTAACGAGATTGGCTGAATTCATGGGGGTACCTTCCTTAACCAGAAACCAAGCCGCAGTAGCGGATATCCCAAGAGAAAACTTGGCGAATATTGCAGAAGTTAACGTAGGAAACCAAGGAAGGATGGCCCCTCCGTTAGTCGAAGGGCTTAGGGAAGAGCCTTTGCAAAACCAGCCTTGTGGCTTGGGAGAAAGAAACCCAGGAGTGGTGGTTGTGAATCGGAACCAAGACGCAGACAATGTAGTCCAGCAGGTTCGTCGGAACAACGTGGCCGTCGACAATAATCTAGCGGCCATGGTCGAGAGAATTATGGCCAGAAATGGGTTAAACACTGGTTTCACCAGGCCAAATTACACTTCACCTATAGTAGACTATATCCTTCAGGCGGAGTTACCTCCTAGGACGAAAGTACCTAAATTCACTAAGTTTTCAAGAGATACGACGAAATCTACCGTCGAACATGTGGCTCGTTACCTAATCGAGGCTGGAGAGATAGCGAATGATGAAAGCCTTAAAATAAAATACTTCCCAAGTTCTCTTACTAAGAACACCTTTACCTGGTTCACAATGCTCCCCCCTAACACGGTGTGTAATTGGATCCAGTTAGAGCGTTTGTTCCATGAACAGTTCTATATGGGTCAGACTAAAATTAGCTTAAACGAACTCGCTAGTGTGAAGCGTAAGTTTTCTGAGCCAATAGAGGAATACCTTAATAGGTTCCGGTTGCTTAAAGCCAGATGCTTCACGCAGGTCCCTGAACATGAGTTGGTCGAAATGGCCACTGGGGGTCTCGACTACTCTATTAGGAAAAAGTTGGACACTCAGTATCTTAGGGACATGGCCCAACTAGCCGATCGAGTTCGACAACTAGAAAGACTCAAAGACGAGAAGGCTAAGTTTAATAAAAATAAAAAGGTAGCTTTTTCCGAATATAATGAGAACGTCGAAGGTCTGTGCGATGAGCCTGTGAGTTTCGACGATGGTGAAGTGGACCTTGCTGAACTTAAGCAAGGACCGCCTTACTTGTGCAAAGTACTAGCTCCCCCACAAGGAAAGAGTTATGTCGAATCTGAAAAGAATGATAGGTTCCCAAAGAAAACATATACTTTCGACATCACAAAATGTGATGAAATCTTCGATTTGTTAGTTAAGGACGGACAAATGATAGTGCCTCCTGGCGCCAAAATGTCGTCCATAGAACAAAGGAAGAAAAGAGGGTTTTGTAAATATCATAATTTCTTGGGTCATAAAACGTCTCAATGTTTTCTTTTCAGGGACCTTGTTCAGAATGCGATCCAGGAAGGACGTCTAAAGTTCGGAGAGAAAGTTGGTGGCCAGATGAAGGTCGACACAGATCCTCTGCAAATGGCAGATGCAAATTACACAGAGCCAGTCGAGGCTAATATGGTCGAAGTTGCTGACAGCTATGACTTTTCAATCGAAGTAACAGGGGCTGATGGTAATCCCATAGATGAAGCTGTGATGGCGAAAGTTACCATGAGCTTCGGACAAAAGAGCTGTGTCGAAATGGAAGTTGATAACTGTGACCAAAGGGATGAAACCAAAAGCCCAAACAACAGGAACAATCTGGGTTGGGAGATAGTGACCAAAGAAACGGCTGATGACTTCGTCAAAATTGATCAAGCCACCAAAGGTGTGGAGTTAAGCTTGAAGAAGCTTAATATGGCCAAAGAAGTTGAAATTAACATGGTAGAAATCACCCAACATGAGGAGGTAGCAGACAGTGAGTCGAACTACCGGGAAACACACACTAGGGAAGCATACCCAGAATAGGAGGAATCTATCGTTTCGTTCCTTCACCGCTGCCAGGAGAAAGGTTCTAGTGTGATGCTTTGTCCCCGATGCAACACCATATTCGACAAGAAGGCCGCACAAAAGCTAGAAGGAACATGAAGGCTGAGGCAAGATAACTAAACACCAAGATTCGACCCTCGAAGAGGCCTTCAACAAAGATCTGACCCCCGCATGAGGCCTCCTACGAACAAACCCACTAGTTTTAAGCCCAATGCTGAGGCCACTGATAGGAAGTGGATGAAGCCCAATGAGACACAGGCAGCAAGGGCAGAAGAGGTGGAAGAACTTCGAAGTGCAACGAGGATCTTTGTTAAGCTACCGAAAAGAATTTCAGTCTTCGAGGGATGCTCATGTGTCAGAAAATTATAAAGGGAAGAATCCCATATCTCGATCCCAATGGAGACGCGAACAGAGAAGAAGAAAAGCACACAGAGAAGGTGCACATAGGGACCAACCACAATCAAGTACCAACATCCCCCTCGAACATGAGGGTCGAACAAAAGCCTTCGGGAAGGCACCTGTAGGAACAAAGT